TAGGAAGAGTGCGGGAAGGTGGTGGGTGGGAGAATGATGGGGAAGGGGTCGTACCAGAAGAGGAACTTCCGGAGATGGTAGTATCTCGCGCAATTCTTCCACAACTTTCCAACTCACCTGAAGTAAACGTTGCCGTCACTGACAGGTGCATAAAAAACGGCAATGGCGCTTTGATTCAGCCTCTGAAGTGGCGTTACCGTATCTGGAAGAAAATAAGTCACCCCTCTTGAGAAAATCAAAAAGTCTTGAGAACATTCTTACCTGGGAGGCGAGCACCAAATCCAATGATACCATTTGGTGAGATGTAGATCTCACTGTGGGAGTTTTCCATATATACCATTGGAACATCGATGGCGACCGCATGTTGACCAGCCGAATACTCCAAGCTCTGGTATTACTTTTTTTGATATTTTGCTCACGAATCTACCTTTTTCGAAGTTTCTCTATGAAGTGGAATTGTCAAAATTTCTCAATTTTGTCCCATCAATCCATCACGATCCCTAATCTTTAGCCCTCCCCCAGAACCCCCTCGAAGTGAATCATGCTCTTTCAGGCCGAATAGCTCGGAATATGTTTTCTTGTAACAGCGGGTGGCAGCCACGTAACCTCCGCGCATCTGAATCACAAATGGGCGCCCACTGGAGTGTGTGTGAACCCTTAACACATATGCAAATGTCATTTCAGGGACGGTTTCGGCCCGAACACGAGTGGCCACAACGATCTGTTCAGTAAGTAAGAACAGCCATAACAGAACGTTTACCCTTACTAGTAACTGTATGTACATAACTGAGACACTAGAAATGTGAAGTGCGTAACATCTTAAAAGACTGTCCCCATCACTGCCGCTAATATTTCCGCCTCGATGAGCCCATACCTGTTGTTCATTTCGGGGATAGATCGAGCACCTAGAGCAGTTTTATTTGTAATGGGCCCTTCTTTGAGCGGTGTAATACAGTAACTCTATCCTGTCTTCTGAAGGTGGTGCTCCCTGTTCATGTTACAGGGAGCGATACCGTGAACCTAGCCTAGAGTAAGAAGAAAATTTTACAGCACAAGTTCGTCTGCCTGTTTATCAATTTATCACATGGTTTCACCCACATACATACTTCTGCATCCTTCATAGTGACCACGCACACCGTTCCTCGTAACTGGCAGATTTTATTTTCAGAACTTTATTTAGCAATCCGAGATTATTACGAATCCTTTACCAGACTGACATTTCGGCAGTATTGCCTTCTTCAGTAGCCTTTTGAGGGGATGTTGTTCGTAGTCGACACCACGGATTGTA